CCCCCCAGCACCTGGCTCACCTGTGGGACTGTGCTGTGTCCCCCCCAGCACCTGGCTCACCTGTGGGACTGGGCTGTGCCCACAGGGGTAGAGCTGCCCAAGACCATGGGAACCCACCTGTTGCATCAGCATGACCTGGGTGTGAGACAGGTGTCAAGCGAGATCATTTTCAAGCTTAAAATTTTGACTGCCCTGCTGGATTTCTGACTTGCCTGGGCTGTGTAACTCCTTTGTTTTGGCCAATTTCTTCCATTTGGAATCTTTTTTGTTTGTTTTGTTTTGTTTTGTGACCGAGTTTCACTCCTATTGCCCAGGCTGGAGTGCAATGACAGGATCTCGGCTCACTGCAATGCACTCTGCCTCCTGGGTTCAAGCGATTCTGCTGCCTCAGCCTCCCGAGTAGCTGGGGGGCCCGCTTTGGCCTCCCAAAGAGTGGGGATTGCAGACATGAGCCGCTGCGCCCGGCTCAGAACGGTTGTATTTATGGAATGCCTGTACCCTCTCTGTATCTCGGAAGTAACTAACTTGCTTTTGATTTTGCAGCCGCATAGGCAGAAGAGACTTGCCTTGTCTCAGATTAGCCTTTGGGCTAGACTTTTGGGTTAATGCTGAAATAAGACTCCGGGGGACTGTTGGGAGGGCGTGATTGGTTTTGAAGTGTGAGGACATGAGATTTTCAGGGGCTACGGTGGGATGATACGGTCTGGCTGTGTCCCCACCCAAATCTCCACTTGGATTCCATCTCCCAGAATTCCCACACGTTGTGGGAGGGACCCAGGGGGAGGTAATGGAATCAGGAGGGCCAGTTTTTCCTGTGCTATTCTCATGATAGTGAACAAGTCTCACGAGATCTGATGGGTTTATCAGGGGTTTCTGCTTTTGCTTCTTCCTCATTTTTTCTCTCTTTCTTTCTTTCTTTTGAGACAGAGCCCTACTCTGTTGCCCAGGCTGGAGTGCAGTGGCACAATCTCAGCTCACTGCAACCCCTGCCTCGGCCTCCTGAGTAGCTGGGATTACAGGTGCCACCACCATGCCTGGCTAATTTTGTATTTTTAGTAGAGACGGGGTTTCACCAGGTTGGTCAGGCTGGGCACAAACTCCTGACCTCAGGTGATCCTCCTGCCTCGGCCTCACAAAGTGCTGGGACTACAGGTGTGAGCCACCACGCCCGGCCCTCATTTTCTCTTGCTGCCACCATGTAGGAAGTGCCTTTCACCTCCTGCCATGATTCTGAAGCCTCCCTAGCCATGTGGAACTGTAAGCGAAGCACCTCTTCTCCCTCAGCCTCCTGAGTAGCTGGGACCACAGGTGTGAGCCCCATGCCCAGCTAATGTTTAATTCTTTGGTGCAGAGTTTCCTCATGTTGCCTAGGGTGGTCTTGAAATCCTGGGCTCAAGCAATCCTCCCGCCTCGGCCTCCCAAATTGCGCCTGGCCTCCTTTAACTCTGTGAACGTCTTTTCTGTTCATTCCTGAGCACGGCTGCGATCGCTGTTAGTCTTTGCTGACACCAACAACTTTGAGGGCTGCCTCGAAGTTGCTTTCTGTTCTCTGTCTTTTGTGTTTCTCCGCTTGATTATGGGTCGTATTTTCTTGTTTCTTTTCAGGTCTTTTGGTTTTTGTTAGGCACCGAATCGTCCATGGTGGACAGTCTGGATTTAGGTATCATCCTCTGAAGAACGTTGTTTTCGGCTCCGGTGGCTGTTCAGCTTCTGGCCGAGTTCCTTGAACCTGGGCCTGTGTCTTCACGTTTTGTCAGGGGCTCTTCGGAGAGCCCAGGGCATTTGTCAAGCCCCCTAAGCTGGGCGGGGCCCGGCCCCCGCCCGGAGGCGGTCCTTCTCCGGCTCCCCGGGTCGCGGAGGGGATCTGGCGGGGGCTCTGGAGCCGGCCTTCCTCCCGGCGCGGTCTTCAGCTGTGGCCGTTCTGGGCCCGGCTGTGTTGATGGGGCCCTTCCTCGTGGCTGCGCTGGTGGCCCCTGGTGTCTCCATCAATGCATTCTCAGCGCTGGGGCTGAGGGTCCTGGGAGCCTGGGGTCCTCCCGCCGCGCGTCCTGCAGGTGCGGCCCCCTCGGCTTGGCGGGCTCGGGTGGGGGGCGCCGCGGTGCTGGGGGCGCCTTGGGCGCGGCCTTGCGGTGGGGAAACGCGGCCTCACGCTGCCAGAAACGTCCTAAGATCTGTCGTCCGGGTTTACGCCGTTTGCGAAGGGAGAGCAGCAGCCGCGCCCCCGAGAGCGGAGTCCGGAGAACGCAGCCCCACGCGGGGCGGCTGCCGTGGCCTCCGAGGCGGTGAGTCCGCAGACGCGCCGCGGAACGGCCCGGAGGCTGTGCTGTGTGCCCAGCGGTGCGTGCTGGCGGCGGCCCGGGCGACCGAAGGCCACGGAGAGGCCGTGCCCGCGTGTGGCTCCGAAACGCCCCGCCTGAGGGCTGCCTGGGGGAGGCGGCGCCCGCGCTGGGATCTGGAGTTTAAGCGCCGTGTGCGAGGCAGACGAAGCCACACACTGGAAGAAAGCCTTTTTATGCGGCCATGTAAGCAGGTAGGAGGAGGTGAGCCCTGTAACTGCAGATAAGGGTTTTGCATCCAAAACACTCCCCGGGGTCCGGTGTGGGGGGCTCACGAGCGCCTGTCATCCCAGCACTTTGGGAGACCAAGAAGGGCGGATCACCTGAGGTTAGGAGTTCGAGACCAGCCTGGCCAGAAGGGTGAAACCCCGCCTCTACTAAAAATTAGCTGGGCGTGGTGGCGGGTGCCTGTATTCCCAGCTACTCGGGAGGCTGAGGCAGGAGAATCACTTGAACCCAGGAGGCGGAGGTTGTGGTGAGCTGAGATTGTGCCACTGCACTCCAGCCTGGGCGACAGAGTGAGACTCCATCTCAAAAAAAGGGCAGATGTTGTCGCTCACGCCTGTAATCCCAGAACTTTGGGAGGATGAGGTGGGCGGATCACGAGGTCAGGAGTTGGAGACCAGCCTCTCCAACTTGGTGAAACCCCACCTCTACTAAAAATACAAAAAAATTAGCCAGGCGTGGTGGCGGGTGCCTGTAATCCCAGATACTTGGGAAGCTGAGGCAAGGAGAATCGCTTGAATCTCGGAGGCAGAGCATGCAATGAGCTGAGATTGTGCCACTGCACTCCAGCCTGAGGGACAGTGTGAGACTCCGTCTTAAAAAAAACCAACCAAACAAAAAACAGGGCGGGCACAGTGGGTCACGCCTGTAATTTCAGCACTTTGGGAGGTCGAAGCAGATGGATCACCTGAGGTCAGGATTTCAAGACCCGCCTGGTCACCATGGTGAAATCCCGGCTCTATTAAAAATACAAAAAATTAACTGGGTGTGTTGGCGGGCACCTGTAGTCCCAGCTACTCAGGCGGCTGAGGCAGGAGAATCGCTTGAACCCAGGAGGCGGAGGTTGTAGTAAGCCAAGATCGCACCTCTGCCCTGCAGCCTGGGCAATACAGCAAGACTCTGTCTCAAAAAAACAAAACAAAACAAAAAATACTCTGGGGGAGCCTGCAGTGCGCCTGGACCCTAATGGAGCTGTGTGCTGGGTCGGCCTCAAGGGCGTCACTCCGAGGTCCCTGTCCTGCAGGGGCAGCAGGTCCCATGGCGCCCTTGCCCTCTGAGGGAGAACATCTCCCTCCCGTGTGGCTCCGCCAGCGGCAGGACACACAGCCTGAGGGGGATGTGATAAGGGGGGGTCACGCTGTCCTGGAGAACAGGCCCCTCTGCACGCCCGAGAGGTTCTGTCTACCGAGCCCTCCCCAGGGCCCCTCCCACCCCCTGCCCTCCCTGCTGAAAGCGGGGGCGGCTTGGCGTGGAATGGGAACACAGGGTCCAAACTTGGCGGCCGTCATCCCAGCCGGGAGAGGAGAGTGCTCAGCAACTGGGGACCCCAGCTGGGGCACCCCGAGGCACCAGGTCCCTCCACCACCTCCAGGGGCCGCGGGCATGGGCTGCTTGTTGGTGTGGGCTCTGCATTCAGGGACCCCACCCATCTGTCCATTTCTGCAGATCCTCCTTAGCTGCAGCCCCAAGGATGGACCCAGGAGACGCTGCTGGTGACCCCGCCGCTGGTGCGCGCCGCTGCACAGGTGAGTCTGAGCGGGATGGTGCCCAGTCCCCTTGGGACTGTGGGGGGAGGTGCGTGGGGTGCTTGGGGGGAAGTGTCACCCACTCTGTACTCGGTGACGAGGGCCTGGCTGCCAATCCCCAGCTGTGGGCCTCTCTACAGTGTCCACGGCATGGGACCCTGTGAGTCTGGAGGCCCTGCCGTGGCCTTTTGGTACTCAGGGGTTCTCAGGACAGCTTGCCCCCTCGGGCCCCAGCATGGGTGGCCTGGCGCCAGGCCTGTGACAGCGTCCCGAGGGAGGCGGCGGGGGCAGTGCAGCCGCTCAGGGCTGGCCGCTGAGGGGTAGCTCTGGTCCCCTGTGTCCCTCGGGGTGCAAGGCGGAGGGCCGAAACCCCCTTGGGTGCTCAGCACTGCCTCCTGGGGTTCAGGGAACCCGCAGTTTCTTGTGTGGCCCTCAGCGATCCAAGTTCTGTAAATGGAGCCATTCTTCATCCCTTGGGTTAAGGGCGTCTGCTCTCCCAACACCTTCCAGGTCAGAGAGAGAAATGAGAAGCGCCTTCCCCCACGGACAAAGCGGAGGAGTGGCATCCCTGCGTAGCCCGAGGGGAGGTGCCACCCAGGGCGCAGGGCTCCACCCGGCCTCCCTCCCTGCCACTCCTGCAAACCCAGACCCTGCAAAATGGGGACTGGGTCGGGTTGGGGAGACAGAAGCTGGGAGGGAGCGGAGGCTAGGAGGGAGCGGAGGCTGGGGGGGAGGGGAGGCTGGGGGGAGCGGAGGCTGGGGGGGAGCGGAGGCTGTCTGGTGCCAGGGGGTCAGCCCAAGCCCCAGACTCTGCCCTCTGTGCCTGGGCCAGGCTGGGTGGAAGCCTCCTGGGAGGGGCTCGGCTGGGCCCCGATGGGAGCCGTCTGGGCCGGGGCTTTGAGGGCAGATGGGGGTAGGGCCCAGGGCCCCTTCACGGCTTCCAACCTGCGGTCCTTGTGAACAGCAGCGAGAGCTGAAAGCCCAGGCTGGCTGCCTGGCCCCGGCTGTAGACCCTGGGTTTGTGTGGGTTTACTGCCTTTTCACTCGCCACCCCCGGCCTCTGCCCAGGCCCACCCTGCACATGCCCCTCCATGGGGCAGGGCCACAGCCCTCTCCCCTGTGAAAGCCCCGCTCCCATGTGGCAGTGGCCAAGGCTCTCTGCCTCAGTTTCCCTATCCCACGAGGCTGCGCCCTTAGCCCCGGACCCTCCCGGGGCTTTCTCTCTGCCTTTCTCTTCTGCGTTCCCGGCTTGGCTCATGCTGAGGGCAACGGCGGTGCCCCGGGCATGTCACCTTCCCTGAGGTAGCCAGGCCGCAGCATCCCAGGGGAGGGCCACCTCTGAGCTGGGCAGGGCTGGTGTGGACGCCGCCCCTCTGCAGGCACAGCCCTGTCCATCCCGTGGGGCTCCAACCACCCACCTGGCCCTCTCGGGATGGGCCCAGACCCCTCACCTTTCCGTTCATCCGCCGCCTCCTCTGAGGCCCTCTGTGGGCCCCAGGCCAGCCCCTGTGTGGGATGAGGCCCTGTTACCTCCCCTGGAGGCCGCCCTGTGGGCCGGGGAGCACGCCGCAGCTGGGCTTCGCCTTGGTACAGAGCCAGCTCCCCGCACAGGTGGCCATGGCATCTACAGCCTTTTCTCCACCTAAGCAGAGTGGGATGTGTTCAAAGTGCACCACCAGTAGCACCACTGAGGAAGAACCTCGGCCCTCCTGGAACAGACACAGCGCTTCCTGAAACAGTCTCAGGGCTCCCTGGAACAGACACTGCACCCCCTGGAACGGACACGGCGCCCCCTGGAACGGACACGGCGCTCCCTGAAACGGACACGGTGCCCCCTGGAATGGACATGGCCTCCCCGGAATAGACATGGCGCTCCTGGAACAGACACGGCGTCCCCTGGAACAGACGCGGTGCTCCTGAACAGACACGGTGCTCCTGGAATAGACACGGCGCCCCCTGGAACAGCCGTGGTGCTCCCCGGGACAGCCTTGGTGCTCTCTGGAACAGACATGGAGCTCCCTGGAACAGACATGGAGCTCCCTGGAACAGACATGGCCCGCCCGGAA